AGAATGTGTCCTTCATGATAAATAAGACACCAAGGAACATGCTCTGAAAGATGTGTGGAGCAAAAGGCCCTATACCATGAACGGATAAAAGAGGGTGGTCTTTTATTAACACGTAGAAAAAAAATCCTCTAACAGAAAATGGCCGAGTAAATAAAGATTGGTTGTTCATTGGAGAAGGAGATAGGACAATTAGGGGGAAAAAATTAGGTGTGCCTGTGTTAAGGAAGGAGTTCCTAATAACTCTATGTAAATACTTATAATTCATTAAAGATTCTTGAGAAATCTCTGCATAAACTGAGTACTTTGTGAGAAAGAACCATAGATTTTTAGAGTCCAAAAAAATAAACTCATACATACAATAGATTTCACTTTAAATATACTAAATACCTCTTATTACTTGGCAAAGTTCTTTTACATCTGCTGCCTCTCTTACTCCCCCAACAATCTAACGCGATGTTGCAAAAGTAACCATATCAGTAAAAGTAACCATATCAGTAACAACACGTCGCATTTTTATAGTTCTTTATGAGTTTCAAACATGCTTTCCCATGTATCTTTTTTCTTTTTTTTTTTTTGACATCTGTCCAAAACACGGCAGGGTGATATTATTAGCCATCTTTCAGAATCTTTCAGCAAATTATGCACGAGGCCAGTGGTGGGTGATGAGATACAAGCTTATATGAGCTACTATCTTTGCCCAAGAGTAAAATCAGTTCTAGCAATAATAACAAAAGTAGTAGTGACAGCTACCATGGTTTGAAAACTGAATATATGTCAGACATTCTCCTAAGTGCTTTACTACTAAGGTTGTTCTGAGGCACATTTCTTAGTGCCTTATTTTCATGAAGGGCATGTGCTCCTTGTGGCCCGATGGTTGTTAAATAACTATCTATTGACCAATTGCATCTGTTTGTTCTGTCTATAAACAAAAGCCTTGTCAGATTTCCTTGAATCTCACTCACTCTCTACTTCACTCTACAATCCAATATAAATTTTGCCATCTAAGTACAAATAACTTTATAAAATAAATATCTCTGTATTCAAGTCTGTTATTCATTTGCTTTCATACAGCCCTTTGAGGTCAGGTTTTTATTCTTATCCCCATTTTACAGAAGAGGAAACTGATATTCGGAGCTTTAATAACTATCCAAGCCCACAGGGTCAATAAGAGGTGGAGCTCGGATTTAAACATAAATCTATTCAGCACCCATATCTATCTTTATCTGTCTCTAGAGCCCAAGTCCTTAATAATAATTGCTGCTGTTGAGGACATACTTATCCGATTCTAGGCACTGCTTTGAGCTTTACCTATATATTATCTCATTTAAAATTCCCAACTCAACAACCTCATTCGGTAGCTACTATTCTTATCCCACTTTTACCAATAAGGCAACAGAGACTCAAAGAGGTTATGGAACTTGCCCAAGGTCACACTGCTCCTGAATGAACTGCCGGAAGCAATCTGATTCCAGATTCCAAGCTATTACTCAGTATGTTAGACTGTTCCCTAAAATTGGGCTTCAGAAAAGTTAAAGGATTTGTCAAGGACCATAGGTCAGGTAAGTACAGGAGCCGGGCCAGGACCCAACTTCTCACACTGGATTTTACTTGAAGCACGTGATATTATATTCTTAGCCTGTCTCCATTAGAAGCTAATCATACTCTCACCTCTAACATCACCCAACCTTGTGTGAGTCCCTTCCACTTCATCTAGTGATTTCCCTTCAGCAATTCTCCTGTGCTGTGGTCACATCTCTTCCATGGCTGCCACTGCTTGAGTGGGGGACAGATCCTTTGCCTCCCACCCCCATCCAGTCTCCAGTCCCTAAGCTGATCTGCTATCTGGGGAAGTTCAGACAGACTGATTACCATACAGTCTGGCCTGTTAATAACCAAGGGAACCCTCCCCCCTCAAATCCACCCAGTGCCATTGTGACTTCCTACCTTTTGAAACCAGACATTTCAGACTAATAGAAGTTACAGTCGCAGACAAATCCTGCCCATCCCCCTCACTGATAAATTTTACTCTATTGGCTACAGTGCATCCTTTCCAGATGTTTTAAATTAAGATTGGGAAAGCTGTGTTTTTACTGGATTGAATCACAGCACTTGGCTGACAGTTTTTGGCCCTTCATACACTCCTTAGATTTATCAGCTAATTGCAGACACTTTGAAAGACTAATACAACATGTGTTTATTATGACAAACCCTGCTAGTGTGTCTTTGTGGTCAGAGATTCACGGGTGTTTCCTTTACTGACCTCTGGTTATGTATTAGAGTTGGTTCGAAAACATTGGTTCAAAGTCAAAAACTTACATGGGTGAAAATATTTCATTTATGTGTTTTGGTGGAGTTGGGGATAGGGACAGGATAGATCCAATAGCTCAATTTTTATTCTTAGACTGTTTTGAAATCTTTTGTTGTGAATGATAAAACAATTTATTAAAGGATGCCAAATGCCTTAGGAATTGTATTCGAAACATCAAAAGATAGCTTTGTAGTTGTTCTAATGCCACTGTTTAATAAGTTTCTCCACATGGGTTAATTCTGTTTCTTCCAGTGTAGCCTGTTTGGAGACTTGTGCCTGAGGACATGTTGAAGGTGGTGTCTACCTCCCTTAGTCATGGCAACCACTGGCTGAGGTGGCCCTTCAGGCAGGAAGAGCCCAATGATAGCAAATTGTGGGGAGAGGGTGAACAATCATCATCACTATTCAAGTCAGACAGTTGTCACCTGGGTTATGAGTCATTGCACATCAGGATCCTGGTGAGTCCTAGTCTTAGGACATTGCTGCATATATAAGAGACCTAAAGGACTGGACCAATCATAGGAAAGGGGAGGATGGAGAAGCCAGCAGGGAAATATGGATGCCCAGGATCTATCCTTGGAGTCCCTAATCTCAAGTCAGAATGACAGCGAAGGGAACTCAGGAGCTAGTGGTGATACCAGGTCCCAGAGCCAGCTGTGTGAGGACCACTGATTCCAACAGAGATGGCCACTGGGTGTGAGGAGTTTGGTGCATGCGAATCCTTTTACAGTTGAAACAAATTTGGGGACTAGCAGGGAATTGAGGCTGCTCCTGTGTTTGAGGGTGGGGGCAGGGGTGGGTAAGCCAGAAGCTGAGAAAATAAGGCAAAAGCTGACAAAAAGGAACAAATTGCTTCCTACTGTGGACTCAGGTAGAAGCTGAAAACAAATTCTGTAATCAAAGTATGAAAATGCCTTTAGATTGTACTAGAGTGAGAAGGAATGCCAGAGAAAGTAGCTAGAAATCTGAATTTTAGAACTGTCAGAAAAAAATATTACTTTTTTATGACTTTCAGATATATAAAGTTACCTAAAATACATGGTTGTGAGGGAACCTGTTTCAATGAATTCATTTTTTTTGTCATCTGCACATCAGAGAAAGATTTCTGAAGTATTTTGTTCATTTCCTTTCACATTGCTTCTCTATGAGGACGCCCAGATTTCTCTCTGGAATGGGTAAATATTATTTCTTCTGAGAAACTGGCTTGTTTTATTCTACAGATTGAGAATCTCATAAATATTGTCTGTCCTCATGTGCTACTAGAAAGCTTAGAACTAAATCCATGAGCCACTCCTAGCAAGGAAATAAGCTCCTCACAGTATATTTTTTTCTATGCTGTTCTCACTTCTTACTTTATCTTCCGTTTATTTTCCTTTAATCCATCTCCTCCTAGTTTGAAAGTTATTGTGTCATATTTTTTTAGTGTAACTTGTGTTGTATGTATCACTTAAGCTGGAACAAAGTAGACTATGTAAGTAAATACATCAGTGCAAATAAGTAGGTGTTTCCCAATGTGAAAAGATACCTTTTCTTTTACTGACTTTAAATTTTATAATTTCACTATTAATTCTCCTAACAAATACCCTTTTCATTAATAGAAATGATTTCCTTCAGCCCTCTGAACCATCTCAATTTCCAAATTAAGTAAGGCCCAGAAAATATACTGCATTTGCTTGACAAATTAACTTAGAGTCCTACAGTTATTTAAAATACTTGGTTGACATTTTATAATCAATATTCAACAAGAGATGGGATTCGTAAATAGTGGAGAGAAGCTTAAACCTTACCAGTCAGACACTCAGCTTTGGCCAGAAGAAGCTTTCCTTATGGACTCCCCATTGGGTCATGGGGTCCCCCTATACTCTCTTCTCAACCCTGTAAATTCTTATTTGAGGGAGAAGACTGCATTTCCTCTTAAGACTTAGGGCGTCCTCCTGAAAAGTAGGGCACAACAAAGCAGCCTTCACAGCTCTCTTCCCCAACATCTTTCCATACTTCTCTAACAAAAAGAAAACTCTGAGTATGGTAATTGGAAAATGATCCTATAGAGTGTTGGCCATCTCCACCCTACCTATTATCACTCTTTTTTTTTTTCTACTTTTCATGCTTCTTTTGTTCCAGCTAAAGAGATTTATGTATTTCCACTTTCTCACTTTTGCTCACACCATTCCCAGCCTGGACCCAAACCTTCCCCTAACTCACTCTTCTCCACTTGACTGAGTCCTACCCTCAGGTCCCATCTCTTCCATGAAGTTCTTCCCAATGTCCCAGGCCTCGGTGACCTCCCCCTATGAACTCTATAACTCCTGCTGTCTGCCCCCTCACCCTGGCACCTAGTGCATGTGACCAGCCATTGTTATTTATCTTTTTAAGTGTAAGTCCCATTTTCCCAGTGAGATGTCAGTTCTTTTCATAACTAGGTTCAGTATATCATAGACTCAAAAAATATCTGCCAAAAGAACAAATGAATGAATAATTCATCTGGCTTTTGGGATACCCAGAAGCATCTGACACACTGTTGACTTATTGAATGTTCAACATTAATGCTAGTAAAGATGTCGCTCCTCGCCCACACACCCACTTTAGCATAATGTCTTTGAACCTTCCTATTATGGAAACTAAAGGCAAAACCAACTTCACTGTTTTAACAAAGTAATCTGTGCTTTGACTTTTTGATTTCCTCTCCTCCTAGATTTTAAAGAAGTCCTGCATCGAAATTCTAGCAGCGGAACCATCCACCATTTGTGCAGGAGGTAAATCGGAATTAACTGCTGTCATACAAGTGATATTTTGAGTTTGAATCACGTGTTTACTTTATTGACGGGAAACAGGGGAGGCAGGTCAGGAAGGAGGAGGGTGGAAAGAGTAGAAATTGTTAGATATATTTGCTACTAGGAAAAAAAGATAAGAAAGAAGCAACATGTCAGTTGTTTGAAACTTTGAAAAAGTCTGTCCAAACTCTCTCTTTCTATGGGATTAATTATGAGAGTATTGCAGAAATACTGGATTCCTACACATCATCACCTGGCTAGAAGTGGAGTCTAAACCTCCCTCGTGGCAGCCCTACAGATACCAGGTGATCACAGTGATCATAGGCCACCTGTGAATGGTTGATATATTTAATTATTTAATTGGTTCTGGCCTCTCTCCATAATTAATATATTGATCTTAATTAATTGCTCGATCTACCAGTCCTCCTCACAATTGTGTAGGCAACCCCAATCGTCCAAGTAAAGGACCATTATAGTTTTGTCATTAATATAGGAAGTCTCTACTTATACAAAGAATCAACCTTCTCTGAGTTACAATATTTTTTCTACTTGATCCAGATTGGGGTCTTGCTATTATTTTGTATTGTAACAGACTGCCTAAAACTTCAACCATGATGGCCCTTTTATAGGATTCCTGACAGGTTTCCCAGCATTCTTTTATTTATTTAAAAAGTATTGTTAAGGACATACTGAATGACAGGGGCCGTCTTAGGTGCTGGAGAAACAAAAAGGTAAATTCTCTCCCCGTGAATTCTCGTGTTGCACAAGCTTGAGTCTTTCACCACTGAGAGGTCATCGTTGATATCACCTTTCTAGTCTCTCAAAATATCCAATGCTAATTATTAATTTATCACAGAAAATACATCAGGCAACCGTATAAGCATGGAGGAAGAACTTTTAGGCTTTTTCAAACACTATACATTTTGATTCTTTATGGAAAATTTTATTGATATAAATGAAGTAATTCCTTAAAGATTTCATTACAGTTTCTTGGCTATATGTTAGAACAGCTGAAAAACTTTCAAGGAGTTAGATGCACTGAATAATATGTGCCAACAACGAAACAAGTATATATGTAAACATATAAAGTTGTTAACAATACTGGGTGACTAACTATTCAGAGATATGTGTAAATTTCCAAAAGAAAAGCAATCAACAAATATGATCCACTGACCTTTAAATAAATTGCTACCTGGCAACACATATGGCAGCACAGTTGTGATTGCCACAGGAACAGATGCAGGAGAACCTCTTTAAGAAAAGGAATTGAAAAATCTTACCTTTGCCTATCTGACTAAAGCTAATGAGCACATGAACCAGCACCAGGGCCTTGTAAGAGGTCTTTGCAGTGAGGAGCCTCAACTATGAGTCATTAGCTTTAAGGTAATTTGCCTCCAAAATTTTGATAATTCCTTCATTTTAAAATAATTAGAAAACAAGGGAGTTTGTTAATTCTTATTAATTCATGAGGAAAACCCAGCCTTGTGGTTTAGCAATCCTACTGGATGTGTTGCAATCTTGTAGTGAGTCATAGAGTCTAAAGACAAAGAATATACTTCTGTTAATTCATTAGCATAATCAATTCCTCTCCTGTAGGGTTCTGGAGGACAAATAAGGACTCATTTCTTTCCACTTCCCACTGCCTAACAGAGGATGTGGCACTTAACAGATAGTCAATTAATGTTGATTGAATGCCTTGATTCATATATTCCTTCAACAAACAATGTACTGACATTTGTTTATTTGACCCATATTAACTCCTTTCACATCACCTTAAGAAGTTAGCATACCTTTGAATTGTCTAAATAAAACGAAGCAAAATTAGAAATAGCTAAAGATAGAAAGAACAAGGACAAAATAAAAACAAAATCTCAACTTAGACAATAGAAAAACATCTTCCTAAATAGTTCTTGAATCAAAGTTTAATAAACCAAAATCTCCTTTACATACCTTTGAGATATTCAGGACAATAAAAATGTCACACATAAAAAAGAATATGGCACAGAAATATCAGTGTCCACAAGAACTGATCCTAGCAAATTCATAAATTTTAATATATTCCTTATTAAATAGAAAAGAAAAATAAATAATGAAGTAAAAGATATTTTTTAAAAGCCAAGGAAAAATACAAGAAAAGAAGATAAAAATGCATTAATAATTTTAAAAAGTTAAAGCAATTAAACTGATAAATTTTTCAAGAGCTGTTTCTTTGGTAGAATCAATAAAATAGATAAATCTTGGGCCAATCCAATCTAAGGAACCTTTCTTTAGATATTTTTTAAATCTCTGGCTTATGTGAAATATTGCATATTTTTATAGACAAACAGTAGTTTCCTGTGTTGGAGTAAACTATCCAATTCTATTTCCTTTATTTCTTATAAAGAAAAAATTAATACAAGACACAGTGATGGAAGTTAGCCCTAGGTTTCAAAAAGGCAAGCTCCCATCTCTCTTGAATTAGAATCATAATGGCTAAAACATGCTGGCTAGAGAAGAACTTTAATAAGAAGAAAATGAAACTTCCAAAAGATATCCTTACACCAAAAGTTCTTCCGTGGATTTCCTCGAAGGTCAATGGCAGATCATTCTCGGAAGGAAGTACGGCTTTCGTGAAGCACTGGAGCCCATTTCATTGTCCATGGTTATGAATCCTGCCAAGTAGACCTAGACATACCTGCTCTGCGATTTTCGTTAGGGTACTGCTAGGATCCAGGGACTTATGTGAAAGTGCTTTGAAAAGCATAAACTGTTACACAAAACAAGGTGACATTATTGTCATCGATATCATTTTAATGAAGACTGAATGCGAGAATTATGATGTTGATAACATTATATCTGGATGAGAAAAACATGCCTGAATGTTTCTCTACTGAAAGAAAATTGGGAGAACATTGATAGAATTCAGAGTACCTGCAAAACAATTAATTAACTCACTATGTGCTGGAGAGAAAGTAAACAAGAAAATAACTGATTGTTCATATCTCTAAGTATAATGAGGGGACTAAGCCCTAGACAGATCTGTGGGGAAAAAAAAAAAGTAGAACTTGCTTTCATCAAAAACTTGTCCTCTCAGCTCCTTCCCTCACTCTGCGAATGACTTCCCCTCACTGGCCTCCAGTGCCACCTTTGGTGTGGAGCCCACCCAGGTCTGTCAGCTCTGTGCGGACAGTTGAATTCCTCCAAGGCAATGATCTCAGCTGGCTTTCAGCAACAACTCAACAACACCCATGGTTCTGACAGCAAATTGAGCTCTGAGAGAGGTAGAGAGATAATACACTGGGTGGATGACAAAACTGAGATCCAACATGATCTTTATATGTTGAGCTGCAAATAACAAAGTGAAAGTTAATGGAACAAATAGAAAATGTTGAGCTTGGATTCAAACAGCCAGTTTCACATACAAGCAGATTCATATGGGGAAAAAGAAAAAACAGAAAAGCATAGCTATCTTGATAGCCAACAAGAATGCCTCGGACCGAAAAAAAAAGGCTGATGTAATATTAGGGTGCCTCAATAGCCATCCAGTGTCCAGGTCAAGAGAGTTAATTCTATGCCCTATTTCAAGTTCAGACCGTGGTTCCAAGTCCCATATTTTAAGAATGGCATTGACAAAGGTGTGTTCTTAGGTGAAGAGGTGATAGACCCGGAAACCATCACCAGAGTTTATAAACTCGTAGCCTACAATCCCTATCTGGTCTACACATACGTTCTTTTTGATCCGCACTGCTTTTTTAAAAGAAACCTTAAATAATTGCTAACACTTAAAAATCTGATTTCACCTAAAAATTCAGATTTTCATTCCTTCTTGAAAAATCAGATCTAGAACACTGGGCCTGTATTTATTGCAAGAAAATATTCCCTTTAAAAGTATGTACTCTTTCCAGTTCACCATACCGCTTGCTCACCGCTCCCTATTATCACCCAATACTCAGGCCAAGCATAAGATTGCCATTTAGCATGGAGCTTCTGTCACTGTATTTACAGCCCCTGTTCTAAAACAGAAGCAAAGAATTAAACTTGCTGTGTGGAGAGCCTTTATAGCACCTTGGACATTATCTGCATTTAAATAATTCTGCTTGCCTTCCAATACAGACTCTTTTTAAAAGTTCCTAATTAAATACATTTGCAGATTAGGCTGTGTGTAATGAGAATTGATCCACTGTTAGACTGGCCCTGCCTAGTGTAGCTCCTCTCTAGAAAATGCACCCTGTTGCCTAAGCACAGTTTTCCTCTGATCCCACTCAGCTGGCTGCAAACTTAAATGGCTCTCAATGTACTATGTAGGCAAGCGTTCCAGGAAAGAACTAATTGGAATCAAGTGTGCAACCTGCCAACTGCTCCACATTTGAAGTTTTTGTACTCCAGAAATGGAAGGAGATTATAATTAGCTCCTCACGTTATCATTTCAGAAGCAGTTGTATTATTCCTTCTGTGTTGTTTCCCACCGTTTGTAATAAAACTGGATAAAGTATCACAAAAGAAAGGTAGTTTTAGGCTTCATGTTTTCCGTTTGGAAATTAGGTGCTTAAAACAGATACATTTAAGCAACATAAACGGTGATTTTCTTTCTTTCTTTTTTCATTGTTTTTCAAAGCACTCATGCCTGGCTCTTAAGTACCTCTTCTGGATGAATTGTTTAATTCTCTGCTTCAATTTCCTGTTCATTTAAAGATATTTCTGTTTGAAGAGGAACTCTCGTACACTGTGGTGGGAATCTAAAATGAAACAATCACTTTGAAAAACAGTTTTTACAGTTTATTAAAAAATTAAACACACACCTACCATATCACCTGGCCATTCTACTTCTAGGTATTGTAATAATACAAGAGAGAAAAAAAATCAATGTCCAGACAAAGACTTCCATACGAATGTCTATAATAGCTCTTTTTTAATAGCCAACAACTGTGAACAATTCAAATGTTTATCAGCAGGTAAATGGATAAAAAAATTGTAATTTATTCATATAATAAATAATACTCAGTAATAAAAAGGAATAGACTATCCATAAATCTCAGTATAATTATGGATGAGTCTTAAAATAATCTTGCTGAGTAGAAGAAGTTAGACAAAAAAAATTACTTACTGCATGATTTCATTTATATAAAATCTTAGAAAATGAAACAAATCCATAACAACAGAGGGCCAATCAATGGTGGTGGGGAACAGCAGGAGGGAGAAATTACAAAAGGACACATGGAAACTTTTGAGGGTGATAGATGTGGTCACTTTTTTACTTGTGGTATTGCCCAATGATTATAAACATATATGTCAAAATGTATTAAGCTATATACTTTATATGCAAGTTATTTACCTCACTAACGCTGTTATAAATAAATAGCTATAAAATTTTTAAAGTTCTAGAATAATTTAGGCATCAGAAAGCATTTAATATACATTAGTCTGTATATTATATTTTAGATGTTACATTAAGCATCTAATAGGAGAGCAAATTCAAACTCACTTATGAGATGAAATATCATTATCAATAATTTTTTAGAAAAGTCTTGGGTGACCAGAGTAAATGGAGAATATACAGATGTACCATTTCCAGATACAATGAACGATTGTCAGTCTTTGTTGAGGTCCTCTCAAAGTTATGTGTTCCACATTTCAAAAAAAAAGGAAAAATAGAAGGAGAGAACAGAATGAAATAAGTTTATCAAACTATTCGCTGACCTTAATTTTTTTTAATTGAGCTAAAATTCCCATATCTAAAATTTACCCTTGTAAAAAGTACAATTTGGTGGTTTTTAATATATTCACAAATGTATACAACCATAACCACTCTCTCATTCCAGAATATTTTCATCGCCCAGAAAGAAAGTCAAAGCGGTCACTCCCTACTTACCCCTTTTTTGCAGCATGGCAACCACCAACCTATTTTCTGTCTCTATGGCTTTGCTAATCTGGACTTTTCGCATGAATGGAATCATGCAACATATGGCCTTTTGTGCCTGGCTTCTTTCATTTAGTATAACGTCTACAAGATTCATCCATGTATTAGCATGTGTCAGAACTTGATAGCTTTTTATGAGTGAATAATATTCCATTGTCAGACTTCCATAGTGATCACGTTTGGACATTTGGTCTGTTTCCACTTTGGGCCTATGATGAATAATGCTACTCTAAACATATATGTACAAATTTTTACGTAGAACTACATTTTCAGTTTTCTTGGATATATATATATACCTAAGGGTGGAATTTCTGGGTCATAAGGTAATTCTGTGTTTAACTTTTTAAGGAACTACCAAACTATTTTACAAAGCAGCTATACTGTTTTACATTCCTACCAACAATGTATGAGGGCTCTAATTTTTTCACTAACACTTGTTATTGTCCATCTGTTTTATTATAGCTATTGTAACGAGTACGGAGTGATAGTTTATTGTGGTTTTGATTTGCCTTGCTCTAACAACTAATGATGTTGAACATCTTTTCATTCATTAGCCTTATTAATTCTCAGAAAATAAAAAGGATTAGATCTGACTGGTACCTGAAAAATGACCACTTTGTTCTTTTCTTTTATTCCCATTCTATACCAAGATGTCATTTATTTATTCATTCAATGAACTTATATTGAGACTGACTCAGCCTTGGGTCAGACACAGTCAAAATTTCTGAAGAGTTAGAAATGATGGCCTCTACGATCAGGAAGCTTAAATTATAATCGAGAATAAATAAGAGAGACAAAAGAATTGTAATGAACGTATGTCTTAAAGATACTTTTAAAATATGTACCTTCAAAAGATTAGATCAAAGACCATTTTCAAGTAGAAATTCCTTCCTAAAGTCCTACAATTCCTAGCCACTTCTTGTAAGAGCTGTAACTCAACATGCAAATTGCGTAAAAACACTTAGCTGTACATATTTTGAAAGGTAGGGGTCAGGGCTTTGTGGATAAACGGAGTTAAATCGGTATATCCTGGTTCTGGAGTGTCCTGGCTCTCCCCTGCTGGCTCATTCATCTGACGGATTTTGTTACATAACTGCAGCGTGTGAACAGCTGACGTTCTAGTTGGGCTGCCGAGTCAGATGTCTGAGCTCCTCTGGAAACCACATGTGCTCTCCGACAGTGAAAGGGCACCAGGCGCCTCCCCTCTGCTGTGCTTCCCACAGCATCGCTTCCTCCACCTTCTTCTCAGTCCTAGCGGGTAAAATTGTTTGGTTTCCACTGGTGCCACATCGTGGGTTCCTGCTGTCTTTCTTCCTAAACACCCTGAGGTCGGGCCAGGCTGACGTGTGGGCAGCCTCTTGTACGGAGGGCTCAGCAGCTGAACTGGTAATGCGAGAGCATGTTAGAAAAGGGACCTCAGCGTGCAGCCCACGTTTCCAGAGTCTTCTCTCCCTCCATCGAGCTTTGAGGAAATGAGAAGTAGGCACAGAAGTGAAGCAGAAAACATTTTGAATCAGCAAAAGCATCTAACGGCAGATTTCTGGAGGTCTAGCATTCAAACTAAAAACGGAAATAGGTTTCTATAGGCTTAATCTGAGTAAATAAAATACAATAAGATACTTCCACGCTGTTGTTGAACCAACGACATCATCAGTCACATGCCAGGTGGACATCTAAAGAAAACCATTAAGTCCATTGTTTTTTAAACTTAGCAATTGTGTGTATGCATCAACATGCATATAAAAAACCTTAATATTCATAGGACTTATGGTCCTGAAAGACCACGTGCCCATGACCTTAATTAATATAGTTTAAAACCAAGGCAATGAATACTTGGATACAAGTTTTGCTGCTTAGCAATTACATGACCTTGGGCAAGTCAAATTCCTTATTGTTGAGGTCAAAATCTCAAATTCCTTATTGTTGAGGTCCATTATACTTGTAAAAAGCATTCTGTTCTAATTTGTACGCTTATGGCACACTCAGTGCCTCTGGGTTCTTTTACTTCGGTTTTGGTTTCTTGCTTCCCATTCAGCAAGATCCACTTTCCTGCAAAACGGACAAATCTGCCTAAAATAAAAATAAAAATAAAATAAGCTTTAAAAAAACCCACAGTGTCAATCTCTAAATTAGTCATGTGTCATAAGACAGAGGATCCATTTTAGCATAATGGTAAAGAGCATAGTGACTGAGTTCTAAGTGCGGGGCATTTGATGCCTGATGGACCTGGATTCCAGTTCTGATTCTGACAGCTACGAGCCATGTGACCTTGGACAGGTTATTTAAACTCACAAAGCTCAGGTTTTTTCATTTGTACCTACCTGGGCTGTGGGCAGTTTTAAATGACATTAGACATATACAATGCTGAGCCAGGACCTGGCGCACAATGAGGGAACAATTAACATCAGCTATTATTTTCTTGACAAACATGATCTCTAAATTAGTTTCCCAGGAATTAAGGTGACCATACACTCATGATATTTATTAAGGTTTGAAAGAGTCCCATGTGCTAGTCCTCTAATTCCATTCTTCCTCCAACAAAACTCTACACTTGGATAGCAATTTACAGTTGAAGATCCACTTTCACAAATACTGCATTTTTTTTTCCTCTGACTTTTTGCTGATTTCTTTTTTTTATATGCCACACGGCATTATCCTATGCCCCAGCTTTATACACAAAAGGATGAGAAAAGAAAGTAGAGCACTGACTATTAGTTACTAGAAAACTTAAGCAAATGTTCCTAAACATTTAACTAATGAATTGACAAGGGCTATTCCCAACCCCCCTTGGTAAGACTATTGTAAAGAACCATTATTTACTTTATAATGATTTTATTAAAGCATTAATTCAACATGCATCATTCCAACATGAAATTAATATACAGGGCTAGAGAACTTGTGAGATATATTTTCTCTTCTATTCAGAGAGAAGTGAATACTAACTACAATAAAAGGGCCAACAGCATTTCAAACAGGTTAATGTTTGACAACTAGCCGCTGATAAGCAAGACTTTGATTTATTGCAAAGGACAATTATTCCCACATAACACTAGCTATTATTACTGTGTGCCCAGCAGACACAGGAGGGCCAAAGCCAGTAACAAACAATTTCCAACCTAAAGAAAAATTTTTCTGGTTGTGGAAGGAAAGACAAAAGAATAACACCAGCCAGTACATAATCACATGCTATGTTGTTCAAAACAGAAAGGGAGTGCCATAAGGCAGTGGTTTTCAAAAAATATTAGGCATCTTGAGCTCTAAAGAAATCCTTTTGGTGGCATTCTATATGTAAAAAAAATACGTGAAAGTTGTTGAGTTGATTGAAGAAGTGGAGGGTCCCTCCCCTGTGGCCCTAGGATGCAGAGATCACAGTTTTTAAAACTGAGAGGACTTGAGACGTGGGTAAGATTTGAACGACAGAAAGAGGAGAGCATGACAGTCCAGGTCAGAGAAATAGCAAGAGCAAAGGCAAGAAGGTAGGAATTCAAAGTAAGAAGCTGTATGCCTGCCTAGTGGTCACCTAATGAGAAAGAGATGGGAAGTACGTGGCAAAAGACACCCACATGGTGGCTTTGGATTTCCAACCCGCACTAATTTTCAAATATTTTAAGCCTGGTGAAATAGTTAAATGCACTAAATCAGGGCAAATGGGAAACCTAAGTTTAATGGCCTGCAGTCAAATCACGTGTCTTGTCATTATTTGTTTCAGAATCATTTCAAGTAGTCGTGAGAGGGAACGGCTTCCGACATGCCCGCAACGTGGACAGGGTCCTCTGCAGCTTCAAGATCAACGAGTCAGTCACGCTCAGTAAGTTCTGGCAGCCTTTATGGCTTTCTTCAGCCTGCTCAGGGAGGGAATGGCCGCCCATCTTCGGGCAGGGTCACAACCAGGAAACCATACAGAGAGGGGTCTACCCTGCTGGAATAGCCTCCAGCAAGGGCAAAGGCAGCAGGGTGCTCATTTCCTAGTCCACCAACATGTGGGCTAAGTTACGCCCTCTCAGGTGTTAGTGTCGGTGCTGGTTCGTGAAGACTTACAAAGTTCGACATTTCTCAACAAAGTATTAGGGACTCTCAAGCACAAGAGTGAAAAATAGACGGTCTAAACTTATTGATTCTGAATAAACCAAAAGCCAAATTGTTAGGCTTGCATGTGTAGATTCTGGAATTTTTTTTTTTAGTCTGGATGATTCTTTCTTGGAGTAGCCAAGAAACTCTCATCATGGTGAATACCTGACATGAAATATAGGAATATGAAAGTAAAACTAAGTGCATTTCATGCAAAAAAAAAAAAAAAGAATTATCATAACATTGGCACTCTCACAGGACATTTGTAGCAGGCAAGTTCTTAATTTAAAGACATGTGTGATTCATGTCTCTGTCCAGGAGACTTGGGGAAGTCTGATTATAAAAGGATAGATGGCCAAGAGCCCTGGTTATTATTTACATCTGGCATCCATCACACAGATAATTATTGATTCAGTATCTGCAGTGATGAAATAGTAATATACAGCATTTTCTACAGTGCTGTGTCCTTTTAAATGCTTCACATCTTTTTGCCACAACAGCCCTGGGAGATAGAAAGAGAAAGGAGGACACTCACAATGATTGACGAGCCACCCACAGTAGTTTTGTCCTCCTGATAGTAGATACTATCCTATCTCTAAAAAGGAAGAATCAAAGGGTATGATTTTTTTCCTCCTTACCATCGTAAAACCCTCCTGAATATTTAAACAGAGATATGTAGTGGCTTCCTTACAAACATCTGGAATTCCTGGCCTTGGAATAATCGCAAACATTTGAAACCTTTAGTTAGTTTTCTTAGTACTTGGAAATATTTTCACGTCTCCAAAAAGTATTTGCTATTTGAAAACATTTTGAAATATCCCTGAGTAATCACACTGTGAAAGTTGGGTGTGTGCCCTCTACAGAGTTCTTTTTTTTCCCTTTCAATTGTGATGTCGCTCAAGTTCACCTTCCCTCTCTCCTTAACCAAAATCTCAAACCTAAGATCAGAAACTCTTGAGAGTTAAACTCAGACATCAACACCTTCCATAGAAGGCTTCCCGAATGAGCGAGCCTTCGGAGCAACCCCTCTCTGAAGATGGATGTAAATGGGGTGTAGTGTTACCATTGCTTCACTACAGAGATGCTGCATTGGGATAACGTGAAAAACAAATTCACTATGGATTTGTAGAATAACATTCTAAAAGCCTATTTTCCAGTTTCTCCATGAAAGTTTATTTCTTGAGAAGCAAGCCCATCCTTTCTCCCTCTTCTCTTCTTCTCCTAATATATACCTGCAAACACCTGCATGGCTCTCTACCTCATCCATGTACGTAAAGAAGTAAAGGCTGTTGGAGTAGGGATTTGGCACAAACTACAAACCTAAAGTGCTTCCAGTACAGTGCTGACAGTTTGGAGAAGTGGAAGGCAGTGACTCAACCATATTACATACTGCAGGCAACACTTAAACGCAAACATGTGGTCATTAAAAAGAACTAAGGGTGAAATGTTGGAATTTGAAAAAAAATCCTTTATTTATTAATTCACCTGTTCATTTCCATTCAGCAAATAATATGAACAAGAAACTATGGAAGACAGTAAAGATAAATACATTTTTAAATGCAACATATTCAAACCTACATCCATCCTAACCTACAGCACTCCTACAGTCAACTTTATGCATGTAAAAGTCTCTACTGAGTTATCCCTGTAAAAGAAAATAAATTTATATTCCTTTACTTTTCCCATTCTCCTTTCCCATCTCTGCATCCCAAGTTTTAAAATGTTATCTATTTTCATTTTTACAGTACATATTTCCTCTTTCAAGATTTTTTCCTAAACACTGCCTTAAATTTTGTAACAAAAGAAAACATAAGTGCTATTATTAATCAGAAAAAGACTAATCGAAGGCCTAATAATGAAGCTAAGACTGTTGTAGCTCTCCAGCCTGTTCAAATGTGATACAGGACTCGGAGTTGTCAACAAATAACACAGTAGCAGGTTATATGAAACAAAAACTGTTAAATATAAAAGAAAAGATTGAAAATGTATATTTATAGTGACTTTGAATGGATAATTAAAAATGAACACTATATAAACCTTTTTAAATGGCTATGAAAAGGTTTAAAAAGGTTTAAAAAGGTTTAAAAAGGTCTGCAGGTCGTGATCCTGATGCTGATGCAAATCCAGGACACTGGCCTATACAAGATAGTGAGCAAGCGCAGTAGGCTCCAAAGGGCTGTACCGCACTTTAAATGGGGACTAGAAAAGATGCTCAGTGACTCAAGGCAGGGGAATAAAGGTAAGATGTTATACCACCCAAAATGTGCCCATGACCATCCTGATCCCTGTGGTCCTGGCAGAGACAATGAACATCCAACCCAACCTACAGCACACCTACAGTCAACAACCCTCTCTAAAAATGGGCTCATGGCACCAAGTGGCAAACAATGTGAAGATGGATGGAACAAAAAGGAGAACAAGCAAGAAGAGAGGACTAGAGAACAATTTCAAAGAGAATGTATAATAAACACATTTAAAGTGTGTAAAGAAATCAAACATACCAAAGGGAAAGAACATTCAACAAAGGCAGATTTGCAGGATAACCTAGTTTGAATTCTAAATTTGAAAAAGTTTATTTGCTGGAATACAATTTAATAGACGGATTAAGCAGTGTGATTAGACACAGATGAAGATGAAATGTATGACCTGGAAGAGAGGTACGAAGATATCCCACCCCTACCAGACCCAGATGTTTTTCACTCAAGTTTTATCAGACTCGAAGGGACAAAGAGCTCGTATCTGATATGGGTCTAAGTATTTTCACCATAAGCATCTTTGCTGTTAACGTCTTTGCCAAAAGCATTTTCACTGTAAACATTACACAATTAATTGGCAGTAAGGCAATTTTACCGTAAAAGAAAAACAACTGGTTGACCGTTTGGTGTACATTTGGCAGGCTTAATGTATTTAAGCTAGTTGTCAGTTGGTTTCATCTCTCCATTGACGAAGTTCTCGCAGTTATTCCCATGTAAATATATAAGATTTATATTATATGTAAATCCTAGCCCTCATAATGGTCTAAACACTGAGGAGTAGACATGGTGGTCTTAAAATAGTGGATGACAACAACTGCTATGAAGCCAGATCGCAAAGCTACGTGTAAAGCCAGATTACATACTATACTAGAAAATGATCACATATCAGTGTGCAGATTCTTTAGTAAACACAGTCATCCCTCCCACCCATCAAAACCCAAAGATTACCAAGCTATGGCACATAGAAAAGAGATGGCTACTAATTCACAATCTTCAAGAACATAAATTAGCAATTCTTTAATTGGAAACTCATATCTCTCTTAAGCAAAAAGAAATTGCAGCAAAAAAGAAAAAATTGTATGCCAGATGAGGAGACAAAACAAGCAAAAATTTTTAAAAAGTATAATACTCTGAACAAAAGATTTCTAAGACAATGTATTTTCATTTTTCACAATAAAATCTTTTATTTTGTAAGTCATTTTTCATATTTCATTATGTTTTTTTAATGTCCCTTTTCATTTTTTATTATTTTTATATTTTATGGTGAAATTGCCTTACAGCCAATTAGTTGTACAGTGAAAATGTTTGTGGTGAAGGTGCTCGCAGCAAAGATGTTACAGCAAACACGCTTAAGGCGAAAATACCAGACGTGAGCACAGGCGCTGGAACAAACCACCCAGGAAAAGAATTCTGGCTTTGCCTTAAAGCTGTGTGACTGTGGCAGGTTATTGAACATCCCATACCTTAACTTTTCTATCTGTAAAATGAGTGCGACAATAATAGCACCTCTACTGTAGATTATTATGAAGTTTAAATGTGGGAAGTGGGCTTAGAACAGGACCTGACACAGTAAGCAATCAATCAATGTTAGCTGCTGGCATTAACTTATTACAATCATTATCACTATTATTAAATGGTGTAGCAACTATCATAAAAGCATCAATTATCTTCAAATTAGTATTTACTTTTAATACAATCCCAGTGAAAATTCTGATGGGACTTTTTAAGTTAACAGAATAATTCTAAAGTGTATATGGAAGAATAAACATTTAAGAATAGCCAAGACAAATGTGGAAACTTACCTTAGCCAATTTTAAGATGTATAAAAAAGTAATTGAAATAATGTATGACTGGTGCCACAAAAGGAAAGCTGAGCATTGAAACAGGAAATACAAAGTCCATAAACAGAGCCAAACACTTATGTTAATTTAGTATAAAATAAAGACCTTTTTA